TACTTTTCACAAAACTTCATTTTGACAAAAGAGTTAATTTGAGCATGCAATTCTTATTATTTTAATACCAAATTCGCAAATATTCAATAAAAATTGACATGGTTTTGACATATTCCTACCAAAAGGGTGGTATTTTACTCTAAAAAATGTCAATTTTTTGTGGTTTCTGCCCTGACCACATGGTTGGTCGGATCGGGCTAAAAATTGGTGTGCATGAATAATTTTTTGATTAAAACGAAAATACACAGGAATTGGCGTAAAGCATGACTGGTTTCGGTCCCATTCCTATTAGGCTGGGGATGTGCGTAACACGAGATGAACCTTGCTGTTTGTTAAGGTTGACAGAATGCTAGCAATATATATGAAACTTTTTTTTTAAATAGCTTTTTCGGGAAAGGTATTAACAATTGCCCTCGTTGAAAAATCGAAAGAAAAAAATGCTGACAACAGATTTACTCCTGGCAAGCATGAACAACTTTGCCATCATTGTCATGGCCAAGGTTCATTGCATCCATCGTGGCGTAACCTTTTTCAGCCGGGGATGAAGCTTGACATGGAATGACGTTGACTCTTGATTGACCGAGAGCGCATCACATTATATGCAAATATTGAATGCTTTCGAGTGATGTGGGTAATCCATGGCGCGTTCTGTTTCAATGGTGGATCCAGAGCACATATTTATTTGTTTGGGGGGGGGGCAAAAAAAAATTGTCTCCCAAAAAGTAGGTCCAAAAGATTACGGCGTGGGGTTCGGGCCCGACATTTGTTGGATTCTAGATATTAACAGGTTTACAAATAACTGTGGTTTTTCACAAACTACTTTAAAAGTGGAAATACTTGAGCAATATTCGTTAAATCTGTATAGATGTGTTGGTATATGAGCTACAAATTGGTTTAAACTGTATCCTAAAATAAAATACGACAATAGAAGCACTAAATTATATATTTATAATTATTGTGATAGTATAATGAATAGTTTGTCATGATGACTGCAGTTTGAAGTTTAGAAGTTTGCCAACTTGGTGTGACAAAAGGCTAGGAATAATGTCAACAGATTATAATACTTTGAACTGCATTTCATTGTTTTATTAATTAACATGTCAGAAGTTTCTGTAACTTCTTCCCATTTGTTTACCACCTTGCTGTACAAAAGTTCAGTCGTCACGTTTCATTGAATCGTGAAGGTAGATGAAGCTAGCTGAATCAAGTTTGATTTCGTACCGTGTACACGAGGTCAAGGGAAATCAGCATGGGCAAAAAATATGAATTTGCATTTATGAATTCTTTGTGAACTGGTGTATATTGTGCATGCGTGGGCCGCTGGGCGGTGGCGCACCATTGCTTGACTCTTCTGCCAAACCCAGGCAAGGGCGGATCCAGGGGGGAGGGGCCAAAGGGGGCCATGCCCCCCCCCCCCCAAAACGAAACCAATTTTTTTTTTTTTAATATGACATCGCAATAAAGGCAGGCAATGAGTACACCACCATCTTTTCCTCAAAAAAAATTGGTTAAAGTGGTCAGAAATTGCCTCAGATCGCACCACAGAGCATCTAGAATCCAACAAATTTTTGGGGCCCTAGCGGGCCCCGAACCCCACGCCGTAATTTTTTAGACCCACTTTTTTGGGGGGACCAAAAAATTGTTTGGCCCCCCCAAAAATTGTGTTCTGGATCCGCCCTTGAACCCAGGCCGGTGTTGCATATTGAATTATACTGGCTTGAAGGACATCGGCGTACTTAGGAACCCGGTACAGTACACACAAACAATCTGCAAGCCGGACCATGTCACAGATGTTTTCTTTTTGTATCTACCCTGATCCCGATCTAGCACATCACTTCTTCAAAAACATATTTTCCAGAAATACAAGTTCAAAGACCAGTTCAGAGCTGGGGCCTCTTCATTTCTACTAAACCCCAAATCGTGATTTGGCCGGCGTATAGGCAATTTTTGGCCTATTTATACAGGTCTGCCCCACGTACCGTAACCGAGTTGAGTGGTCGGGCACACCCGATGACGTCATCATTGAACGTCAGAGTATTACGCACCATTAGTGGTGCGTTATGAACAGTCCAAAAATTAGTTCTTCAAAATTACAAACAACAACAACAACAAGTTTTGAAGAAACATTTGTCACTACGATTGTCCAAATAAGCTGTTTTACATTTTAAACAATAAAAAGTGGCATTTACTCCAAGAAAATGAAGAAAACTTTGATGTGTAGTTGTATACACAAAGCTATGGAGACACTACGGTTCTGCCTTGAATGACATCACGCTTTGGCTCATGAATATGGAAATTTGTATTAGCATAAAAACTTAAATGTTGAAATTTATCTCTTTTACTGCTACAAAGGAGGTGGAAACTTCACAGTTCCATGGCAAGAAAGCTGTTTTAAATGTATTTAAGTCATATAAAATCCTATTACATGTTCCCTTTAACTGGACAGTGTTTCATAAGATAGTTGTCTATCCGACCACTCTGCGTTTGTAACAACAAACGCCGAACCTCTAGTTAAACTTGTGACAAACTTGCACTGCCGCTGGAACAAACTTTTGCCAGGGGGTGCTGGAATAAAGGACGGACAAAATTAATGCAAAAGTGGAGCGCAAAGCCCTTACATCGTGGCTTAATTTGGATTATAGATGTTCTGTGGTGCAATCTGAGGCGATTCCTGGCCACTTTCATTTGACTTTTTAGCAACAGTTTTTGAGATTATACAGACAATTTGTTTCATTATTTTGTTCAGAATATACTGTTGCTCTTAAAACGTTTAACTGTACTGAAAATTGGAGAACCCTGATGCTCTGTGGTGTGATCTGAGGCAATTTCTGACCACTTTGACCAATTTTTTTAGAAAAAGATGGTGGATGGTGGTGTACGCAGTGCCTGCCTTTATTTGCGACGTCACTTAAAAATTTTCTTTTTTTAAATTGGGTTCTTTTTGGCCTGGCCCCCGCTGCCCCTCTCCTGGATCCGCCCTTGTTTGTTCTGTTTTACCACCAGTTAAAGCAATCGATATGTTTTTATAAAGCCTAACTCACAAATGCTGCTTGATTTGAGAGATAACTGATTTAAACCAAATCCAATGTAAATGTGATTGAACATTTTGCTTTACCGAATAAGTCCTTCTTGAAAATTGTTGAGCCCAATTCTATAGCGCGAGCATGGGAACAATATGCACACCATACACTGTGACATTATAGAAGAAGAAAAAAACCCAGATCATGTTGAATATGCGCGTAATTATTTTTTAACCCTAGTCACATGGCCAATATGGCTGCTTCCAGGCAAAACCCATTCCGTACCCGTTGATCAGCAGGACAAAAATCTCATGCCTTTTTTACAACAAAGAGTAGAAGTCAGGCGCGGATCTAGACGGGGTCGAAACACCCCCCCCCCCCTCTCGGTCTGAAAACACGAAAAATGTATAATTATTTTAATAATGACACGGTCCGCCTGTCCGCAACAATCGGATATGAACATCTGACGGGCCTGGACTCCCCCCCCCCCCCCGCAAAAATCCTGGTCCGCCCATGAACGCACATAATGCCTTTTCAAAAAAGCCTACATAATCACGGTGTTCATTGTTGCTGAACGATAAATAGGTTTAGCACACGTATAGGCCTACGACTAACAAGGCTTCCGTGTACAATTTTCCTAACATAACAAATGAAAACAGTTGGCTCATTGTTGCCTGAAATATCGACTTCTGTTTGTCCATGGAGCTAGATCAAACAGATGCACTCAACAATGTTCAATGTTTCTCCGCCTATTCAGACAAGTCGTTTTGAGCAGAATTCTAAGGAAGCCGAATGGCCTAGTGGTTAGATTCGTCGTCTACGAATCGCGGAGCCCGGGTTCGAATCCCGTCGGTGGCTTTTTGCTTTTCAACGCACGCATTCAGTCATTATAAGATGTTTACTTTCCCGTCGTAAAAACACCAACAGTACCTTAGCTTAATCGGTAAGCACTGCTGCTGGGACTGTCTGCGAAGTCCAGGTTGGCATCTACGTATAGGTTCAGGGCATGTTGTCCACTCGGAGGATCAGGGCTTAGGGTGCCGCCCTGTTCCTCCCTTAGCTCTTTGCTTTTACATGGTGCCTGGCCCTCGGGTTACATGGATGGATAGGGAAGGAAGTGTGTATTGGCCGGGAACGCCGAGATCCCGAAAGAGTCCTAAGGGATTGTCTGGGGCATTGTTATGGCCCAGACTGATCCCTGAATGCTTGGCTAGCGCATAACTTTTTGATTTTTTTTTAGCCTCTGTTTATTCTTTTACTTTGGTTTAGTTTGATATTTACATCTGCTCCGCAGGTCTCCGGTAGTATTAAAATCAAAATAAAGGATTATGTCATAAATTAATGAATATTTAATAAAATAAAATAAATAAAAGTTTCGTTCGATCAATATGACTACTATTAATAATGGTGCAATTTCCAATTGACGTAAGAAACGCGTTATGCCTATTCAAATAACGTTTCTTTAGTTGTGAACATTCCAAAGAAATACAGTACTTTGCAAAATAGGAAAAACGAAAAAAAGTCCCTCACCCTTAAAACTGGAAATACAAATTTGTCCGGTGGGGGACCACATTTACCAGGGGGTACAGAATAACCTGTCACACCGGTTATGGACGGACATGGCGCCGTGATACACTCACATCGCGCCGGATATGGACGGACATCGCGCCGCATTAATGACCTTAATGGTACACCATACTTTAATAAATAACCAGACAGTCATGTAACAAAATATGCAGAATCCGCGAGGGAGGCATTATAAAACAAACGTTTTGCATAGTAAAACTGGTCTCCTTAGTGATCCATGGAGAGTACTGTTTTCACTCTGCTTCATCTCGGGGGAGAAAAACAGAATACTACATAGATGACCTCGGGAGGATACTTTTAAATACTACACCACTTGTAGCAGTCAATATTTGTTTATTTTTCCCCAGAATTATCCAGATGGGTGCCCTTTTCATGCGGATTGTTTTAATCATGATGACCGGATGGTTGAGTGTTAGTCAAGCGGGTAAGCTTTGTTCATTTTATCTTTTTCATTGAGACTATATTTTTTATCCAAGAATTTTTTTTTAAAGGCTAATCAAATTTAGAGTTGTGAACAACCAATTATGGTGTACCATTCACATGAGAAAAATGGACTTTTTGTTAATGCATCACAGCAATGGAATTACACATCACATCATCTTTTCTTTAATAATTGCAAATTTATTGGGACTCATGCATGCGACTGCATGCATGAGGGGTGACACTTGCGCGTCTCCTCTCGGAAATGCCAAAAGAAAATAATAAAAGTCGAATTCCTTGGTGGTGTTTAGCACCGTCGCGACGGATAGTAGGATATTTGGGGGAAAGTATCAACTGGTGGGGGAGGGGGGGACACTACCACAAAAAAGCCAAAAATAGCTATGCATGACTTTTGCCGATGGGGGGCCGCAGAGTTGTAACCAAGTCATATTTTTTCCAAGTCAAGTCAAGTCCCAAGTCAAATTTTCACAAATCAAGTCAAGTCCCAAGTAATTTTTTTTTTGAAATATTAGATGCACATACTACTTATGGGAACCAGTTTATGTGTTCGACGATGGAGCCGGAGTAGGGAATCTAAGGAGATAAAAAAATCATACTTTTCAAACATCCTCTCTCAAACACCTTATTTGTATCTAAAAACGCATTTGATATAATATTTTGAAACTTGTTCCATCATGTTGAATGTTTGAAGGACGTCTGACAAAATGTCCTTCCGAACGTTTTTGTTTCATACATGATGTGAATTCTTGTTGCTTTATGGCGGATTGGGGGAAGCAGCCGTTTTCCAGTCATTTAAACCCTAGTTGCATCTAGCACGCTTACGACAAACCACTTAATGTGTACGTGTAGCCTATGGTCTTTATGGAATGACCGCTCTATAACAACGGATGGTACTCGGACTGTACGCACGGCACAAACGTCACCTCGTATGAGGTTGAGTATGATACGTTGTCCATAACACACGTACATAGATAGTCATGTGGCAGTCTCAGGATTCCCAGCTATATTGCTGGTTGCTAATTCGCTATGTATCATCTGCATTCTTTTCAACCGGTATTATTATGCTAGTGCGAACGAACGCCGGGAGTTTTGTGCTTTTTTTTGAAACTTTAAGAAACGTTTTAATGTCAGCAAGTCAAATGTATTCGAGTCAAGTCAAGTCTGAAGTCATTTTTTCTGGTGGGATTGCGCAGTCTGTTTCCAAATTGAGGTGAGAGTTCACAATTAAAAGGCAATATACTGGGTATAAAACCAGAGGAATACAGCGTTGTTGTTTTGATACTTTGTTATTCTTTTAGATTTCTGTAACCCATCATCAGTGACGAGATACTATTGTATCTCTGACTTATTGGAGGATTGGGCTGAATTTGGTAAGTGTGTGTAGGCCCTATACATTGTCATATAAATGCACCTACACCAAATACCGAGTTGGCGTCCCTGTATCTTCCGTTTAACGGTGGAAACTGCTCAATAATCACAGATAAACGTGCACAGTTGTGGATGTTCTGCACCATTACATCCGAGGACAATTGGCCTTGTGTTTCCCTCTGTTACTGGTCCGAAACACTCTCCCATAGACTTACGTTTGAGGATCGTTCTCAACAAAAGATGTACGTTCTAGGACAAAAAAACAATCTGATCTCTTTTTGTCTTGCTGTCCTCAAGATGAATGCATTATTAGTGTGTATTATTTTTATTTTGTGACTTCTTTTTTTAGGTATCCCGTAAGGTTTGTACATTAAAACCGCCCGAGGACTTGGCTCAGCTCCTCTAGGTTATTGTTGTAACAGAAACCCATTGACACAAATTCTCAGTCGTATTTAAAGATGACAAGATCAAGGTTGTTCTCCAGATATCGCATACATCCAACAACCCAACCCCCCCCCCCCCCTTTCCCTCTCCCACAAAAGTGTACATGGCATGCGTGTACACGCCTGTTTTGGAAAACTGTAGTCACAATATGCAAGTACACTCAACGTTAAGAATACAATTTGATACCGTTGAGTTATTCTCTTAAGCAACCAATAGACTTAGAGTGTCATGGCCGAACGGTAAGGCGCACCGGACTCAAGCTCTAGTGTTTCTGATCAGCAGAGTGTGGGTTCAAGTCGAGTCCCGGCCGATCTTTTTGACACTTGTGTCCTTAAGCAAGGCACTTTACCATTATTGTTTCGTCCTTCGGATGGGACGTAAAGCTGTAGGTCCCGTGCGTTGTTTAATGCACGTAAAAGAATCCAGTAACACTTATCGCTAAGAGAAGGGGTTTGCCCTGATGTTTCTGGCAGTGCGTTTATCTTCAGCCATGAAGTCTGCACTTGAAAGGAAGAAGAAGAAGACTTATGAGTGATGTAGTTATGAAGTCTTCAATAAAACATACATATTACAATTCTTCTTTGATATGAGACTCATGAAATTATTAATTGTACTTCTTTCCTTGGTAAGTGCACAGATAGATATGAATGCCATCCCGAATCATTTTTTTCTTCCATTTATGTGCCAATATTAGTTGAATCCTGACAAGTGCATTTCATAATTACAATGCTTAAATAGAATTGTGTTTGTCGACAACCACATAGCTGTTTCGGCACCAGTTTATCAACAACTGTCATATGGGGCATTTTTGATGACGTCATAATGACGTCACACATTTTTCGAAACTTTGTGTATACATCTATTGCCTACCGAACTTAATACAAAAAGAATTTTGAATGTAGCATGTTTTGTTTCAGGACAAATGAAGATGAGCTGAAAATATGAAAAATCAATAAAAAATCCACACGATGACGTCATCGTGACGTCACGGCATTGTTTATCAACACATCCCGCTATGTGTACATACAAAGTTTCAACCGAATCGGCCTTGTAGTTCTCTAGATATATGCCCTTGAACAATATGCACTTTCATGATGGCGTGACATGACACGTGCATGATGACGTACTCATGACGTCATGATTCGGAACGTATTTTCAGATGATGGTCTAAGTACTGTGCCATCGATCGGATTCGTGAAAAAGTCACAAGTGCTGCTCAGAACGAAATCACATGTTATCTATTATTCCACCTGAACCATTTACATCTGCAGCCAAAGTGCGACAAATATTTAGGCTGGTTATACATGTAGAGGACTAGCACAATTTAGGGAAATTCCCCTATAATCCCACTGGCGGATCCAGAACACAATTTTTTTTTGGGGGGGGGGGGGGTGCAACAAAAATGTGGTCCCCAAAACGTGGGCAGAAAAAAATGACGGCGAGGGGTTCGGAGCCCGCTTAAGGGCCCCGAAATTATTTTTAGTTTCTAGATGCTCTGTGGTGCGATCTGAGGCAATTTCCGACCACTTTAACCACTTTGTTTGGAGGAAAAGATGGTGGTGTACGCAGTACCTGCCTTTAATGCGACGTCACTTAGAATAAAAATGGGGTTTTTTTGGGGGGGGGGGGAAGGGGGCGGCACCCGTTGGCCCCCCTGGATGCCCCCTTGAGAACTCTGGATATTGACATTTAAATTCTGCGCATTTTAGATGACTCACATGACTAATGATGACGTCATCACGACGTTAACAAAAGAAGGGTTCTTAACAAAACATTTGGATTGGGGGGATTCCCCTTACCCCCCCCCCCCCCCCCCCACCTCTCCCGCTGGCTACGCCTATGAAGTGTAACAGTATAAGACATTATCTCCGGACACGCTCCCTACAGATTCATGCAACCGGAGTAAACCATGTTACAACGTAAACAGGCCTACAGTGGCATTTGGTGAATGCAACGGCGTTACGACACAGATATGCTCAGTAGGTAAGTATAGGTTTGGTTGACTTTAAACGTTTTGTGAATTTATATTTTGAGTGGCATTTTACCCATCGTTCAATGCATCCATTCCATGCCTGTATGCGAAATGTAAACTCTACTTTACTAAGTACTATATGGCACTCAATTGTGTTTGTGTAAAGGGCTAGGGGTACATCCTCACGAAATCTCCGAATTTGTATTCTTTCTGGCTGTTTTCTTGTTTTTGTTTTCAAAAAGGTTACTAACCAAATATGTCACGATGCCTGAGAAAATATGAAGAAAAACTAGTATCCGGTTGTTTGCTTCTGACATGGCAGGATTTTTTTTTGGGGGGGGGGGGAGGCAAGAGGCCTAGAATATTGTTTTTGTTTTTCAAAAAGGAGAAGGTGTCTTCACTCCTCCGATTACAACAATGGGTTATTTTGGGGGGGGGGTGGCCCCCTATGCCGCCACGCGGTCCGCCAATGCACAGATAGATGAATTCCAGCCTCAAATAATTCTTCTTCTTATACGAGGAGTTACCCACAAACTTCTTTGTCCTTTGCCGGACGATTCAATGTATGATGCACGTCGTGAGTGTACATAAACATGTATAAAATAGAACGCCACTACAACGAACACTGGTCCATAAAAATGTTCGTTATAGGCCAGAAAAAAAGTCTCCGGTTTCTGGTATGCGCGCGCGACGCCGTAGCCATGCGCGTCGGCAAAATGACTTTTTTTTTCCAATGAAAGATGATGTCTCAAAACCGCCAAACTCACTGGTTTGACTGGAATCCTGCTGCTGCACAATTTTAACGTGTTTTTAGATGGGGTTATGATCAAGAATAAGCTTTATGTGGCCTCTCTGGACTCCCATATATTTGCACTAAGTTAAGTCGGGCACCATTTGCATTCATCAGTCGACATTTGAAGCAAAAAAAAAGGTTACAAAAAAGCCGCGTCGCCGCACCACTTTTTGGGCAAGCTCCATACCAGAAATCATAAGATCACAATAATGTGGAAGGGGCCCCTAAAAAGCAAAGCTTGTCGAGTAGTGACTCCACTTAATTAGTAATGATTAATTAATTAGTTCATTTAATTTAAGTTACAACAATCACATCACATACACATACATAAATAACACAGAAATTACTTCAAGGGACATGAACATGACGAGTAAACCCGTTATACATAAGTAATTATTCAGCAAGTGAGCCTATATATATATTTATATTAACGATTGACTGCAAAAAATTTTAAGACGTATCCAGTGAATTCCATAGTTTGGGACCCTCGTGCTGCAAGTTTAGTACGTGAACCGGTGGAATTCAGTACATTGTCTTGTAAAATAGTGATGAATATTTTCATTTTTTTGGGTGAACATTTAACAGATAAAATTGGGTAGTTTAGAATTATTAAGTTGATGCATGAAGGTACCAAGTTGGAAACAATAAATATCATTTACTTTTAACACTTTACATTTATGAAAAAAGGGGATTCCCGTGTTCCTGGAAAGTTGTGGAGTTGATTACTCTCAAAACCTTACCTGTGTGAAGAAACGCATTTGCCAAAATAAAAGTACCGTTATGTTTTAAAGGCTGAAAACGAATTACTAGTATTGTCAACTAAGTATTAATGGCCTTTCCCTGAACTGGTAACATTTTTTTCGTTTTTAATAGTTGAATTCCCAGAATCTTCACCGGACCCGGACTACTGTCATAGTCATCCATGCACAAACGGCGGAAAATGTGTAAGTCAACGAGAGGGCGTGCTGTGCTGTTACTGTAGGAATTTTGAGAACGAGCTTAGTTGTTACGGTACGTAGGCACTTATGTTGCTAAAGAAGTTAAATATTTCACCAGCTAATCAGTTAGATACATGTATAAATATTCATATTAATTACATGTGGTTTTATCACAGAAATCTGAAAAGTGAAAAGTATTTTACCTTCATAAAAATTGCTGTCAAATAAACATTTCTTCAGTTTTCTCTCAAAGGAGCTGATCAGCGTGAATAAATTCCGCAAGACTGAAGACTCTCAAATTCGCTTGAAAAGGAATGTTTTCAAAATTGTTCACTTTTAAGGCTTAACATGACATTGCATTGGCTAGACCTGCACTTAAATTATTGGACATGTGACAAGTATACTCCAATGGGAATCCTTAATGCTTCTACCGGTGCTTTGAACTAGCCGTAAGAGATATCGAAAAAAAAAATAAAGAGGATTGTTGATACTTAATTTATACTTGCATTTCTTGTACATAATAGACCCTGCGGTAGTAAACGCTTCTGCCAGAACACCCTGTGCTCTAATTGATGGAGCGCCACCAACGATAGATAGTTGCATAGATGTGCGGACGAACAAAGCTCTGGTGAGCGATATCATCTCTGGCCTAGACGTCACAGCTACTGACAACGTTAATAACTCCGTGCCTATACACTGCGTAGAGACCAGAGGTGCAATACATCTTACAACCAACGAGACCATTTTTAACTGCACAGCCTCTGATACGGCTGGAGGAGAGGCTACCTGTACATTCAACGTTGTATTGGGTACGTTTACAAGAATTGCTTTAACCGATGACGCTTCATTTTTTTCCAAATCGATCACCCCCTTATACCGGGTTCCCCCCCCCCCCCCAAAAAAAAAACCGGAACGGCATATTTCCACTACCTTCAGATGCAGACTCAAACCACCTGTACCAATGGCTAGAGAATCTTTTTAAAAGAAATATGATACCAAAATCTCCCGATTCGGTCCAGTAGTTTTTGCTGAAGAGCCTATTTTGTGAAGCACACGTCTTTCATGCGGGTATTATTTACATAACAATTAATCTATCTATTTGGGTGATTAGTATGTTATAGCAAATATTGTTAAACTGACTTGTTTCACTTTTGGGGCTTGTAGATGCTGGAAAAAAAACAAGAAAACCAATCATGTTCTTGTAGTCTGGTTCCCTGGCCCCACTTAAGATGAAACAGAGCAATTTATAGACTTTGGGGAATTGTAAGGTCAGAGAATCAGTCCAGCAGGCATGTACTCCTTCACAGGTGTGTAATCAATTGCAAAGAAAATGCGGAATAACTAAATATGAAAACTTAGGAGCAGTTTTTGAAAAAACCCAGTTTTCTCCAACGCTGGCCGACCAGTGTTGGAAAAAAATACAACCTTCTTGAAAATGCCAGCACACCAGGAGCTACGATTTTAAATGATGCTTTAGACTGTCATTCCCTATTACAGTCCAGTGAGGTATTTCGTGATAATTTGATCATCCCATTTTGTGATGGTTGCAAATGCTGTATCTTCCCTTTAAGTGAAATTCGCGGGCGTGGTTTAGTAATTTGTCGGGACAACATGACTCCCAACAGTGAGTTTGGCGGTTTTGAGACACCATCTTACATTGATTTTTTTCCATTTTGCCGACGCGCATGGCTACGGCGACGTGCGCGCATACCAGAAACCGGAGACTTTTTTTGCCTAAAACGGCGCCCACCAAAAAGTACCCGTACCATTGTTGTTTGTAATGCGAGTGATGTTGCAGGAAATGAGGCCACCTGCACCTTTAACTTGTAACTGTAGGTAGTTGTGTACATGCGAAAATTACTATTTTCTTTGGTTTCTTGATGTGGAAAGGTTGCGGAACATTTTTGTAGCTTGAGGCCTAAGCAACATGTGACAATTAAAAGGTAAAGTTCTTTGTTCATTTAACAATGATTGTTTCAGATCAGCAAGCTCCTGTGATCGACAATTGTCCTTCTAATGTAAGGACCAACAACGCTGTGGTAACCTGGACACCAGATCCTACAGCTAATGACAATGATGGGACCACACTCGAAGTAACCTGCATTCCAACCGCTGGTAGTTCGTTTCTAGTCGATGCAACTACAATTGTTGTTTGTAACGCGATTGATGTTGCTGGAAATGAGGCCATCCTCTGCACTTTTAATGTAACTGTAGGTATGTGTTAATGCAAATATTACTATTGCACTTGATAAGAATTTGGACATTTCTGCAGCTTTAGGGATTATCACAATTAAAAGGTAAAGTTTTTTTCATTTAACAATCATTTCAGATCAGCAAGCACCTGTGATCGACAATTGTCCTTCTAATGTAAGGACCAACAACGCTATGGTAACTTGGACACCAGATCCTACAGCTACTGACAATGATGGGACCACACTCGAAGTAACCTGCATTCCAACCGCTGGTAGTTCGTTTCCAGTCGATGCAACTACAATTGTGGTTTGTAACGCGAGTGATGTTGCTGGAAATGAGGCCATCTGCACTTTTAATGTAACTGTAGGTATGTGTAAATGCAAATATTACTATTGCACTTGATGTTGAAAAGAATTGGAACATTTCTGCAACTTTACGAAACGTCACAACTAAAAGCTTAAGTTCTTTTTCATTTAACAATCATTTCAGATCAGCAAACACCTGTGATCGACAATTGTCCTTCTTATGTAAGGACCAATAACGTTGTGGTAACTTGGACACCAGATCCTACAGCTACTGACAATGATGGGACCACACTCGAAGTAACCTGCATTCCAACCGCTGGTAGTTCGTTTCTAGTCGATGCAACTACAATTGTGGTTTGTAACGCGAGTGATGTTGCTGGAAATGAGGCCATCTGCACTTTTAATGTAACTGTAGGTATGTGTAAATGCAAATATTACTATTGCACTTGATGTTGAAAAGAATTGGAACATTTCTGCAACTTTACGAAACGTCACAATTAAAAGCTTAAGTTCTTTTTCATTTAACAATCATTTCAGATCAGCAAACACCTGTGATCGACAATTGTCCTTCTAATGTAAGGACCAACAACGCTATGGTAACTTGGACACCAGATCCTACAGCTACTGACAATGATGGGACTACTCCTGCAGTAACCTGCACTCCAACCGCTGGTAGTTTATTTCCAGTCGACGCAACTACAATTGTGGTTTGTAACGCGAGTGATGTTGCTGGAAATGAGACCATCTGCACTTTTAATGTTACTGTAGGTATGTGTAAATGCAAATATTACTATTGCACTTGATGTTGGAAAGAGTTGGAACATTTATGCAGCGTTTGGGATTATCACAATTAAAAGGTACAGTTCTTTTTCATTTAACAATTATTTCAGATCAGCAAGTACCTGTGATCGACAATTGTCCTTCTTATGTAATGACCAATAACGTTGTGGTAACCTGGACACCAGATCCTACAGCTACTGACAATGATGGGACTACTCCTGCAGTAACCTGCACTCCAACCGCTGGTAGTTCATTTCCAGTCGACGCAACTACAATTGTTGTTTGTAACGCGAGTGATGTTGCTGGAAATGAGGCCATCTGCACTTTTAATGTTACTGTAGGTATGTGTAAATGCAAATATTACTATTGCACTTGATGTTGAAAAGATTTGGAACATTTCTGCAGCTTTCGTCACATAAGTCGCAAGGCTTGGAATGGTCTCATTGGAACGCGTGTCCCCGGACTGGAACGATCTGGCGTTCCATTGGGAACTGGGGACCGTTCTGTTGGAACGCCACAATCCCTTTGCGAGAACGGTCCAGCAGAACGGTTGGGAACACGCGTTCTATTGGGCGTTCCAGTGGAACGTTCCCAGCATATCGTGTAAACGATGTCCCAGTTTAGAATATTTGCACATATTGCGTCAGGAAAAATGGCGTCCCGATCCCTGGCAACCCGTGCGTCACTGAACGGTAGGTTTTTCTTGTTTATGCGGATTTGTATTTGGACGTGATTGTGAAATTCCTATGACGGTTTGGGTAAATAGTTCGACACAAGTTACGAGTGAACGTTGATGGAATCTTGAATCAAACGTAAATGTCGTTTCTGTCGTGAAATTTCGGTAGCCCCGACCTCACATCACATGCAATAGCTACGGTGATTGTGTATTCGCGTTAAATTATGCTGGTGCAAGAACAACGGCTTTAATACCTAAACCATTGTATACTTTTACTAAATAAACATAGAACGCTGATACAAGCGGAGCTTACCATTGACGATGCACAATTTGTCATAAAAATCTAGCGATTGAATAAACTCCTACTCCAAGTCCTGCAGCTACGCACAGACGTCCGTACGTATACCCGACCGCGAATACCCCGCCGTGCAGCGTTCCACCGGGATCACGGTGTTCCCTCCCCGTTCTAGCTGGACCGCAGCTCGGTGCGTTCCATTCAATGCGCGGAACGCCCCCGCGTTCCATTGGGAACACGGCACGTTCCCAATGAAACGCCTGGCGTTCCAACGGAACGTTCCACTGGACCGCGAACGTTCCCGACTTATGAGACGCTCCCATCACAATTAAAAGGTAAAGTTCTTTTTCATTTAACAATTATTTCAGATCAGCAAGCACCTGTGATCGATAATTGTCCTTCTAATGTAAGGACCAACAACGCTGTGGTAACCTGGACACCAGATCCTACAGCTACTGACAATGATGGGGCCACTCCAGAAGTAATCTGCACTCCAACCGCTGGAAGTTCATTTCCAGTTGATGCATCTACAATTGTGGTTTGTAACGCGACTGATGCTGTTGGAAATGAGGCCTTCATCTGCACTTTTAATGTAACTGTAGGTATGTGTTAATGCAAATATTACTATTGCACTTGAAAAGAATTTGAACATTTCTGCAGCTTTAGGGATTATCACAATTAAAAGGTAAAGTTTTTTTCATTTAACAATTATTTTTAGATCAGCAAGCACCTGTGATCGACAATTGTCCTTCTAATGTAAGGACCAACAACGCTATGGTAACTTGGACACCAGATCCTACAGCTACTGACAATGATGGGACTACTCCTGCAGTAACCTGCACTCCAACCGCTGGTAGTTTATTTCCAGTCGACGCAACTACAATTGTGGTTTGTAACGCGAGTGATGTTGCTGGAAATGAGGCCATCTGCACTTTTAATGTAACTGTAGGTATGTGTAAATGCAAATATTACTATTGCACTTGATGTTGGAAAGAATTTGAACATTTCTGCAGCTGGAGGGAACATCACAATTAAAAGGTAAAGTTCTTTTTCATTTAACAATTATTTCAGATCAGCAAGTACCTGTGATCAACAATTGTCCTTCTAATGTAAGGACCAACAACGCTGTGGTAACCTGGACACCAGATCCTACAGCTACTGACAATGATGGGACTACTCCTGCAGTAACCTGCACTCCAACCGCTGGTAGCTCATTTCCAGTGGATGATAGTACAACTGTTGTTTGTACTGCACGAGATACTGCTGGAAATGAAGCCAGCTGCACATTCAGGGTCACAGTGGGTATGTTCCTCGAGACGTTATACAAACCGCTCATAAACAAAACGTAACATTAATTCCTGAATGGTATACGGGTCTGATTGAAATTCACAGTCAGAATAACATTTTAACAAAATTAGAAAAGTAACAAATGCATTCAACTTGGACACAATTTCAGATCAGCAAGCACCTGCGATCGACGATTGTCCGTCAGATGTTAGAACCAACAACGTTATGGTAACCTGGACACCAGATCCTACAGCTACTGACAATGACGGGACAAGTCCTGCAGTAACCTGCATTCCAGCCGCTGGTAGCTCATTCCCAGTTGATGTTCGTACAACTGTTGTTTGTACTGCAAGAGATACTGCTGGAAATGAGGCGGGATGCAACTTTAGCGTAACCGTCGGTAAGTTGATGTTAAGAAAGGAGGCTAGTCCGTTCATGAAATGCTGCAATCTTTCTTTGACTCGTTGATTTTTCCTTATTTGTATTACAGATCCCGAAGTTGTTGTTGTTTCCATGGCGATAAATGAAACTAATGGGTCAGATGTTCCCTTCATCGACGCGTACAACGACGTCACGAGTCCAGAGTCGCGAGAACTGTGCCTGCCTGTTGAAACGGCCGTAAAAATTCCATTTTCGTTGTTTAATATTATGTCGTATTTGATGGCATCGGCTAACGGCCGTTTTCTTGAATGCTGCAAATTGTATCTGTTCATAATTACTTCACGTCAACCTAAGGTTTACAGCTTCAAACCTTCAATGGAACATCATACCGTACTGTTGACTATTTGAGTATAAACAAACCGAACATATTTTTGTGAACAGATGTTGGAAGCTTTAAGCCCTGAGATGGCTTCAATTGCGACGGCAAAATGTATCGCTATCTACCAAGGCAGCATTATCGTGGACGTGCGCTTGGGCTTCAGTCCCGATCCAAATAGCGCGCCTCTTAGTGGCGCTGTGCAGGGGGTCCTCCAAAACGTCATCACAGAGGGGACATTTGGAGCTGGCGGTAGTGTTACCTACACTATCAACCCAGAGTCAGTGGTCGCACAATGTGAGTTGAATAAAATAATTCATCCGGCGTTATTTTCTGATAGGCTCGGCAATGATTGAAGAATATTGGGCCCAAGTGATTACTTTGTGTCTTTACTACCAGGCTAGTTTTATTTCTCAGCCATTTGGTTTTATTTTTCGTTATCTTAAAACACATTTATTGTAGTTTTGCTTTTTTGTATGTCTTTTGGGTTGCAAATGGACCTAAAAACTGGAATACGTGACTACCAGGCAGATCGTGTGGAGTTACAACGTGGCGACGTCCAATATGTTTGGGGGGTTTTCCCCGACTGGGTGTATTCGGTCCTGCCAATAAATTAACAACATTTTGAAAAGACATGTATCTCAAAAGGTGATAATAATAATATGGGAAAACACACACACACACACCCACACCCACACCCACACAGTTTCCGGTCAATCGGCCATACACAATACTATTCGTTAATGATAAATTTATACGCGAGTCGGTTACCAGATTAGTCAGTGTTACTGAGAGTTCTGAGTCTAGCTAGGCATGTCTTGTCTTGTTCTATTTTTTTATTTATTCGATAACCAACAGCAGAGACCCGCCATTTACAGGTATCATAAAAATGTATAGATATACATATACACATTTAAACTTACAAAAGTTCTTTCAATTTGCAACGTTTCTATACAATTTGTACATTATTCTATAAAGAATCACTACTTTAAGAGCTTCCGTAATGTCGGAATTGTGAGGCGTCGGATTTATGAGGCGTCGGATTCATGCAGGAGGCATCGGACTTGTACTTATGTATTCTGCACATGGGTGTTCCCCCCCCCCCCCCCCCCCACGAAAAGCAAAAAAACGGGGGGGGAAGGAGAGAGAAAAAAGGAAAAAGCAGTAAGAAAAAGAGGTGGGAAGTCATATTGCTGTTAATCTAATGGGTTGTGGGGGACAAATGTCCCTGTCCACCCTCGAAAAATAATAAATCGAGAATTATATTGGGAACAGTACAGGGATTTCGGAGGGAAAATGTGCTTTGCCTTCCTCTAGAAACAAATCCTGGCGACGCCACTGATTCAGCAACATAGCTCCGACGCCTTGTAAGTCTGACGCCTCAAATACATCCGGTCGACGTCGGACAAACGAGGTGTCGGATTTATGAGGCGTCGGAAATAGGGGGCGTCGGAGCTATGGGGCGTCGGACTTATGAGGCGTTGGATTTATGGGCCTTTATTTGGTTGGGGAGGAGATTTTGTTATGAGGCGTCGGACCTATGAGGTGTCGGACTTGCTGTGAGCGGACCCCTATCTATTGGTCTTACATTTTTTCATGATTGTGATACGTGGAAATTAATATTGCTCAACCATCAATCTCTTGAATTCAGTGTATGTGGAGTGGAGGACAGTTCCATGCTAAATTAGGACTCACTGTTCAATGCATGTAACAGTCAGCTCCTTTGTTTCTTTGTTTGATATAGCGGAGTCAATCACGTGCCCTGTCGACTACTGTCAAAATGGCGGGGAATGTCTGTTGGAAGGAACAGTGCCAAGAGTCCAGTTCTCCTGCAAGTAGGTTCACATTAATGTTATTACTTGTTCAGCAGTGACAGTAAGTTCTTTGCTGAGGCAATGACTTCGCCATTAAAAGGGTAATAGGTGCACAATAACATCTGTATACCATGTCTATATCACGGCTGATAATGACATGATCATTCCTGAAACGCAGCCGTAATCACATTTCCTGGCTTGTTTTTACCCCGTATGTTGAACTCTTTCTTTTTTTTTGCTTACAAAGCTGCTCTAATGGATTCGGTGGTGATGTGTGCCAGACCCAACAGGTAAGCCTATTTGTAATAATCACTAACATAATTATTATTGTATCCAGAAGTGAGATCGACTTATAGAATGGGGATGCATAACCTGTTTTCAAGCATGGTTTACCATTTAGAGTACCAGTAAGAAAGTTACCTTTACATAATAATTGTTCATTCATCAACAACGCACAAGGGTCATTATCCCCGCCAAATACATCGCACTTGACGTCTGTGCATTTACTGGGCAGTAGTAATGCGAACCCGAACTGAATGGGTCTAACAAGAAACAAATATTATCCCTATGATATACAGGGGCGGATCCAGGATTTTTCAAAGGGTGCGGGGCGTGCATTTTTTCAAACCTGTGTGGAACATTTTTGTCGTGATACACCAACTTGGGAAGCCACGGCGTGGGGTTCGGGGCCCGCTTAAGGACCCCGAAAAATTTTGAATTTCAGAAGCTCTCTGGTGCATTTTAGAGCAAATGTGGGGATCTTTGAGGTAGATTTTTCCTCAAAATTCAGAGTAAATTTATATTTTACAAATAAAAATAGAATAAACATTTCACAAAATTACAACTTCCTGAACTGGAAAAGTATGGATTAAAAGTAAGTTGCAAATTAAGGTAGGTCGGAATTGATTTAATTTCTTTAAACAAAATATTGTGTGTTGATTGAATGAATGGAGCACGTAGGAATAAGGCATATTTTGTGCCCGGATAATTTTCATTCGCGCCACGAAAGTTATCGAGACTGTCCATAAAAACTTGCCTTAACTAATATGAAAATATTTAAGGTGAATGATTCTTAAAAATAATGGAGAATTTAAGTTGTCCACGTCGCTGTGCTCAACGTTAGTCACCGTCAGCCGCCAGCCAGCAGTGGCCGTATATCGCCTCGCGCACACGGCGCAACCCACGTGCTATGGCCGAACATTTTGTACGCAAACGGTGTATCAAGTACGAGCGGAACAATCTCGTTATGAATATAATGTAAAATACATACACAGAAAAGAGAGATCATGTTCTGAGAATTAATTTGAAGAAATTCTCTTTCTCCATCGATGTTGTTTGGTATTTTTCTACGATCCGAATTCGTCCTGTCACGCTAGGTATAGGTCGCACTGATCTCTGTTATACTGACTGGATAGCACTTCGGGCCGTGGGGGTGAAGTCACTGGACGCCATTTTGACACTCCCTTTGGCCACGTAAAAATATATTCAAAATCACGAAATAAAATTATATATTTGAAACAAATATTAACATGAGTAAAATAACATTGTGGGCAAAATTAATATATAAAAACGTGTTCGATGATCCAAAATTGCTTCCTAAGCTACTGTATAATATGTAATAATTTTATATAAATACGGATCCGTGCGTTGTGGGCTTCAATGAGGGAGTGTCAAAGTGGCCGCCGCGTGTGTGCGAGGGCGTCACGGTCTTGTGTGTTTGCCTTTTGCGGACGTTGAAGAAACCCTTTTTTCCATTGGTGATTGGTCACCGCTGTTCCCAAGACACATAACGTGTATATCGTACACTGACAACGACACGAAAAACGTATTCGTACTCCGTCATGCACGATGTAAACAAGCGGGGGGGGGGGGGGGGTTCGTCTTTTCTCGGGAACGGTAAGACATTAGGTTGGTTTTCTTTCAAGCAGATGTTTGAAATAGGCTAAGTAAACAATCCAAAACATAAAATGTTCGGGGATTTTAGGACCTAGTGCCCCTTTAACACCTGGGTTGAGAGAAGTATTGAAGTAAAGCGCCTTACTCAAGGGCACAACACGAAGGGGCCGAGGCGGGGCTCAAACCCACAACCTCACGATCGTGAATCCTGTGCTCCACCGCTAGACCTTTATATCCAAACTAGACTTTGGATATGATCTGAAAAGTGTACCATCATAGCAAATTAAAAGTCATGGGAAGAGGAAAACCATAAGAGAGTGAAAGACAATATTGTGTCTTATTTACAGGACTAAGTAATAAACCCATCATCAAAATTCTGCCATTCCTTTCTAGGTACTACTAGCCTTGCCGCCGTACTTATCCCCGTAATAGCTCTCGTCTGCCTTCTGGTGGTAATTGGTGTGTGCATATTCCTTATGAGATCCGCTGCGTACGAGGCCTCGGAACAACCTGCGGCACCCCCGGAACTAAACCTGATGGCGTATGACAGAGGGGCCCATCCGCCCCAGCGTCTGTACAACCCATATCACGGCAAGCTGACTCACGAGTCACGGTTCACTCGTCTCGGTGGACGACTAGCTGTCAATCGTCTCGCTTACATCAATCGTCAGGAGACTTTTTAAGCGTCTGTCTCCGTTCGTATAACGATCATTGTTTAAATTTGAGAACCATTTTCTTTTAGTATGCTTTGTCAGCCTTGTGGTTACTTGCTTGGCCTTGTAAGTAACATATTTTATCATATTACGCTGGAATTGTATTTGTTTATCCTTTTTTTTGGCTACTCCTTTTATACTGTCATCACTTCTCTCCAGATTAATTTTTTTTTATGCCATTCGTTTTTATTATTTTCATTTCTGTGACAAAAATTTTGCTATCTTGTTTTTTCTTAGTGTATAATTTCCTTACTTTTTTGTTCTGTTTTGCTTTGTTCAGTTTTGTTCTGTTCTGCTTGGCTTGGAATTTTTTTGTTCTGTTTTGCTCTGTTTGTTTTGTTTTATTTTGTTTTCCTTGTCTTGTCTTGTTTTTGTTTTGTTTAGTTACGTTTGTTGTTTTGCTCTCTTTTTTTCTTATTTTTGTTATTTTGTTTGTTTGTTTTGTGTTTGTCTCAAGTATATGTGCGTTGTATGTGTGTCTTTTTTATCCATTACTTTTAAGCATTTTATATATCTTTATACATTTTTTTATAATGATTCTTTTTGAACATATTTGTTTTTTATATATATTTTTTTAAAATAATTTTATAATGTTTTTAACCCAGTCCTGTAATTGGCGGTTCTTTTTCTGCTTTTGGATGTAGATAATAAATAAATTAATTAATTAATTAAATAAATATTTTTTTTCAGTTTGAGTAATTTTTATTAACTTAGTTTTACTTTATATACCCTGACGAGTGCAAACATAATTATATCGCTTTCTTAATCTAATAATTGTTCATGGTTTATTTACATCAGGTACTGTTTTGTAATGGGAAAACAATTTCCATTTGGTTTAGTTGGGAAATCAATAAAGATTGAATTAGCATTAAATCGTTTTCATGATACCGAATGCAGTTCACCCATTCTCATTGGTCGAGAGCCCGTCACGTGGCCGGTATTAAACGGATGATAAATGCCGGCTGGCTGGTTTTAAACACTTTTCCAGCGTCACTTGAAATTTGGACTATGAAATCCAGTTCTTTAAAGTTTCATTGGTTGAACGCTCACTATACCACGAGTACCATGGCCTGATCGAGATTGATGCAGATGCAGCAACTCGAGGGTGGCTTCTCGGCTTGAGCACCCAGAGATCTAACTACTTTTGTTTGTTTGGTTTCACACGCAAGAAGAAGAACGTTCACTATCATCGCGTAGGCATGCGCAATACCACTAGTGAGTGATTCGCTCGTACCCCCCCCCCCCCCCCCCCCCCCCCGCCCTGCAGACAGGACGCTGGGATACTCTGATGAATTCAGGCTCTGATTGGTTGGATTTTGCGTAACCAGTGACCTGCGCGTCATCAAGGTCATGACGCTGCAAGGTTTGAAACGGCCGTTAAGACTGATTCATTACTTTTTTTTATTCCAGTTTAGAGATGTTTTTTTCTCGTTAAAAAAGCGTAATAATGTAGGAAATTCTGTCAAACTTATCTGTATTGTAAATTTACAATTCCCGTCACTTGCTCAGGCTCCGTTTCGAATCACGAACGGTCGGATTGCATTATGCGACGCTCAACTCAATTTTGTCCACATGGTCCGCAATGAAACAGAAATCACATCCGGTATGGAATGTGCGCAATTTTATGGGAAATTTTTGGATAGCATTTGCGCACATTGTCAAACTGCGGTCTTGAACAGCTGCAGCCTTATACATAGGTCATAGGCCACTTAATCCTTCACAAGATTCTGTGAAGCTCATCAGAGTATCCCAGCGTCCTGTTTGCAGGGCGGGGGTACGAGCGAATAGTGAGTGACTGTGAGTCAGTATATATGGTTTGAGGGTGGACAGTCGATATTAGCTCCCCAAGGTATTGGACGTTTCGCCTCGGGAACTAGTTTGTCAACTTTCGATACCTCGGGGAGCTGATATCGACTGTCCACCCGAAATAAACCAGGTTATATTTAACCATTTTTGACTGCGGTGATGTGGGATATAACGTTTTGAACACCCGAGGGGCGCATACCACCCGAGGCGAAACCGAGGGTGCAATACGCCCCAAGGGTGTTCAAATCGTTATATAGCACATCACAGCAGTCAACAATTGTGTTGTTATACCTCTGTCTTGCATTCTTTGGATTTTGATGTAAAAATCACGAAAACAAACAGCAGTAAACAAAACAATCATGACAATTGAACGTCAACTCACAAGCCCCGTCGCGTGCTCGAAAAAGCTGGTCGTCTGCTTGCTCGCTGCTCCCACTCATGCGTGAAAACATGGTGGAAAAAGCGCTTGCTACCAAAGATACAAGCGTTTCACGTACGTGATATCCCACAGAGAGTGTGCCATGACTTTTTACAAACTTAACACGTGATCGTTCTGGGACAATGAAATACAAGTCAGAGGTATAACAATGGTTACTATACCTCATACATATTCAGTTGCCGAATGCAACTTGTCCAGCTCACCAGAAGAATATTATTGCTCAATCTCAGAAAAGTTCAGTTAAAAAATTCGCAATACAGTACCTTATACTCTGGCATCTGGCACGTGATGGTGAAAGGACCAGTAAGAATGCGGCTCTTGATCATGAATATGTATGAGGTATAGTAAAAGTTCACATTCCTAAATTCACAACGCACTCGCTACAGCTGCATCTGGGCGACATCGCGCAGTACACGCGACGCGCGCGCCAATCTCCATAAAAAGAGTTGTTTACGTCTTACTCGCGAGCTGGACACTCCATTCTGTAGCTAGAGGGGTGTTTCGAAGAACGTGAAGTGAAATTGTGAACGAAATCGTTGGAATTTTTTAATGTTTGACTTGTTTTGACTTTTGTACCGAACAGTTGTGATTTTATTATGATCGAAAAGGTATTAAAAATGAATGGGAATAAATAATGTACTTGGTCGGTATTAAACACTATGTTTAAGACCGGTTGGAGTCTGGATGCTGATAATTACCTTCACCTTCGGTTCGGGTAATTATCAGCATCCAGACTCCAACCATTCTAAAACAAAGTGTTGAAAACCTCCAAAACACACATTTATTCCTTTTTAGTAAACTCCACTTTCAGAACCCAGCAAAAAGAGCTAAGTGCCTGTAATCCTTCATAACCTCAGTAGCTTTATTATTATATTACGCTGAAATTGTAAATTGCTTTTTCTAGTTTGAGTATTTTTGTTTTATTTTGATTTGAATATTTAATTTTTGTAACTTAGTTTTACTCTACATAGTAGCCTGACGAGTGCAGATGTTTAATCTAATGATTTTTCATGGTTTATTTACATCATAGTAGAGGTATTGTTTTGTAATTGGAAAAAAGTTTTCATTTCGTTTAGTTGAGAAACCAATAATGATTGAGTTAGCATTAAATCGTAGAAAACTTCGTTTTCAGAACCCGGCTAAAAGAGCTACAGTAACTGTAATCCTTCATAACCTCAGTACTTGTGTGTATTTTATAAATTAATGTCTCGGAAGTTATACTTGTTTGTTTGTATAGTCAGTATATTATAATATTACGCTGAGGTTTTCATTAAAGTAAATTGCCTCCCTCCTAGCCCGACTGCGTATGGCCGTACAGTACTATCGCAAGCTCTGTAGTACGGCCAGACGCCCGATGCTTCCACAGAGACTGAATTTTGTTGGCCGCCGATGTAGCGATTTTGCTACATCTTTCGATCGCGATTATCTTTTCATCCAGGACACAAATTTCCAAAGTTAAGGTTTGTAGTCGTAGAGCAACTCATACCTTTTCGAAAAAAACGTTCTTTGGTCTCAATATTTTCATCCATCTGGCCACAAGACGAATTTCAGTCATCAGATTCCACAAATATCGTCCCCCATGCGATCCCCCATGCGATTTCAAAATGGCGGCCGCGCTGTAATGTATGCAATTGCAGGCGCGCCCGCGCAAACTCATGAATATGCATAATTAGTCTGTGACGTATGACCTCGTGTTTTGGACGTGCGTGCAGCGGGGCCGTACGGTCTACGTCACAGACTAATTATGCATATTCATGAGTTTGCGCGGGCGCGCCTGCAATTGCATCATTACAGCGCGGCCGCCATTTTGAAATCGCATGGGGGATCGCATGGGGGACGATATTTGTGGAATCTGATGACTGAAATTCGTCTTGTGGCCAGATGGATGAAAATATTGAGACCAAAGAACGTTTTTTCGAAAAGGTATGAGTTGCTCTACGACTACAAACCTTAACTTTGGAAATTTGTGTCCTGGATGAAAAGATAATCGCGATCGAAAGATGTAGCAAAATCGCTACATCGGCGGCCAACAAAATTCAGTCTCTGTGGAAGCATCGGGCGTCTGGCCGTACTACAGAGCTTGCGATAGTACTGTACGGCCAGACGCAGTCGGGCTACCTCCCTCCATACAAACGCACAGATGGTTATAGGCTAATGCATACACCAATATTGTTTACGAACCCTCCAGTGCATGGCCCACAATATGCTCAAGTACTGAAGAATTTGAGGGCATGCAAATCGTGATTTGGCCGGCGTAGGCAATTTCGGACCGATTTACTGGCCTGCACCATTTAAAGAGCTGCAGCTATATATGTCTTTATAATAAGTGACCCAGAATGCCATCCCCACGGCCTTCACAAGATTCCGTGAAGCTCATCAGCCCTTCCCGGCCCAGTGCCCTAGGCCCTTTTTTGCAAGGAGGGTCGACCGGAGGGCGGGGGGTACCGGGTACGACCGAAGCGCCATACATAGAGTAAAGATGGACATAATGAACAGCGCCCACTAGTGTAATGTGGTGTCATGGGATAATGTTGTTTTCGCCTACCGTTTTCATGTTTGTTTGGGTTTTTTTAACTAAGGATCGGAGAACGTACTTTTCGCACTATTTTTCACCAGTTAAACAATGATTTATTACAGGCTGGAGAATGATTGTTGGGCCTGGGACAGTGGCTCACCCAGGATTTGGTTTTGAGGGGGGGGGGGCTCAAATATTAATTTTTTTTCT